CAGCGAGCCAGGCAGTCGATTTCTAATGACTATCTTGGGAGTAAAACATTTGTGTCACGTGAGAAACTTTTCGTAGCGGAATTCGACCACCAGGGAACACTCTGCCAACTATGAAATCTGTGACATTTGTTGGAAATATTAAAATATTCAGACTTTTCTTTGCTCACTGCGTTGATTGTTAATTGGACTAACTAAAACAATTCATAACGTGACCTCACGTACCTCGCGAAGTCGTAAAAGAACAATTGTACTTTTTCTGTAGTTATAGAGTACGGCAATAATCCGCTATTAGCCTTCTTGGAAATTGTCGCATTGAAATGACGGCGCATTTAGAGAGCTGAACGATGGAGTCCTCTTTCGTGAAATGGGTTAATTGTAGCAACTAATTGAAACAGGTCTCTTCGTTAATACCCACGGAGTGCCTAATCGGCTGTGTGCTGAATTCCAAAAATTCGCCGTCTACTCAATGTCTAGTAAGTAGTGAAGGACATGATTAAGCAGGCACCAACGATAGTCGCCAACTGTAGCGCAGCATAATTCGAAAGGCCAAAACATTGATGATTTGCCAGAGCGAGGCTGGTGCCTGAAGAAAATCGATAAAACACTGATTTCGCGCTGAGTCAGCAACCTGCGTTGAACCGAGTTCCTGAGATGGATTAAAAGTAACTAAAATGCTGCCATTCGGGTTACTTTTTCTTGTTGCATTTTGTCCGTTTTTGTGAATTTTATGGATATTTAAACTACTGAGATTTCAAATGCGCTAAAAAGCTGACAGAACCAGTTAATTGGGGTCATTTCTCTTTCTCCATTTTATAGGCGTTGGTTTCAAAAATACAAATCCAAAAGGCGTTGTTCGTCATTAAAACAAAACCGGGGAAATTGGCTGACTGCGGTAGCGACAACCATCCTGATATTGAAAATGGGCCTTTTTAAAAGCCCTTTTATCGAAAATATCCCTTGGTAATTTCATCACAAACGCTGGTGCATTAAAGCGCCATGGCTGTCTAATGGGCTAAAAGGTCGTAAAACGCAGTGAGCAGGTTGTGTTTACAGCTTAAGTGGGAAATAAACTTGAATGCGCCGGCTCTAATAAACAACGGGTTATCAGGTGTCATGTGGGGGGTTCGGAAAAGACTGGGTGTGCTTTAAAAAACAACACAGCTTAAAAATGATTGTTTCGGTAGACAAAATCTGCGTTCTGGAGATGATTAGATTATTTCAAAAGCAAAAATTTCCAACATTGAATTTTATTCTTCTGGAGGGCATGTCAAACTGGCAAAAATACGTAAAAGTCTCTTAGCTGGATGCAGATGGAATGATTTTTTTTTAAAATCTGACTTCATACACACGGAGACACATAGAGACAAGAACGAAGGTAGTAACGAAATCATAACATCATGACAAATGCTTTGATTATGAGACACACATGCAACGTCCTAAAACAGCATTTGCTGAGCCGAAATATCTTCAATGTCCACGCTCAACAATTAGCGGATTATGCTCAAATTCACACATATATTGTCATTAAACACACACGCAGTATTTCCAAGTGATTCAATCAGGAATTATGTGCAATAATTATTAAGCTGCAGCTAATTTGAAAACACGAACACGCTGTTAAAACACCCGCTAGACGTTTATTGGTCAGTGCATACAAATCAATTAACTCCTGTCCAATAAAAAGTGTGGTCAGGAGTATCGATCACCAACACGAGAAAGACGGCCTTGAGAAAGTATTGAAAAAAAACACACCTCTGAAGTCGTTTGGCCGCGGAATGGCACGAAATTAGTTGCTTGAGGAGAACCGCAATACAGAAGTGGGATTTGTTTTTATTTAATTGGAGCCTTTTAACATTCCCGCACACAGTCTTGGTAACAAACTGCGCACATGAATGCCTATTTCAGCTGCCCATATTAGCGATAAGATGAAAATAAGCCCATCAATTAATTTACATGATTGCATTTAATTCATATCGACTATTTGCCGACTTATTCAAGATATCATCTAACGATAATTCGCCTTTAGTAGTCACTCTGCATTAGCTTATTTACATTTCGATAAAATCTTTTCCCCTAGTTTTTTGTTAGCGTTCCAGAAGGCGAATAAAGTGGCCAGGAGCGTTTGTGTGAATGAACAGAACAAGTCGGCGACTTTAACGCTTTTCGCAAGATGTTATTCGTTTCCAACTGAAGCCACACGAAAGACCCTTCGGTGGCCTATCATGTTGTGAGCCCCAGCATGTGGTCGTGAACCAAGCCGGGGCCACGGAATTAACCCTGGCCCGATTACCTTTCCCTGATATCCACGATGAAGAAAAAGACTGGGGAGGACGTGGACACACCCGTCTACCTCCGAGCTCAACCCAAACTGGTGTTGTTGTGTCATGTGTGGGGTTCGCGCGTGTGTATTTATACCTCGGATGTGTGAGTCTTGTTTGCACTAACATCGAGACCCGATGTGAGGATACTCCAGGATAAATATCCGTGTGAATGAGAGGGGGCGTTGAGGGGAAAAGGGGAACCCTGTGTCGGAGGTGAAGCGACCGGATTAAGGGGTGTGAATAAGCACAATTCACATGAATCAAAAGACAGAGCCGTAGAGTCAGGTGTGGCAATGGTGACTAAAATTTCAATCACGAAGCCTAAGGCATCACTATCGTCGATGAACGAAAATGATCTTAGTGATCAGCTAATTATCACACAGGACCTTCAAAAAAAAATTCCAAAAATGTTCTTAGCAAGACAGGACGTCTTAAATAATTGGGCGTTGTATTACTGACTTGCAAATGTTTTACAAATCAGGTGAATTTGTAAAAAATCTAAAAAATGTCAGAAAGGCTGCAATAGAAGCTGGTCAAAGTAACACGACTAATAATTATTTCGCCCGGGAATCAGTTTGAATGCCTTTTTGACACACTAAAGGTTTCCCCTGTTGCTATCTCAACGCGTGCCTTCTGTTTTTCATACGCCCTTGAGTCCACGATGGGCTTAAACAAATGCATGCGTGCCTGAGCTGAATTTAAGTTTGCACCAGTTAAAACACCCGTGGGGTTCATCGACTTTGATTGGATAGGTGCCAGTCGTCTGGACATCAGCACAAAACATAAAGAAGCTACTTGGACAGGAAATTCATTCGGTCTGTCTGGAAACTAGTGGACATGCTGCAATGACGCGGACGTGGTGCCTTGTTTGGATGTCTCCACGGCGTGTCCAGACAAGCTCTGTGCTCACGCGAGTGGTGCTTTTGTTCACTACTCACGTACCCGACTTCTCGACGAGATTGCCCAAGGGATCGATTCCAGATCTGGTCGAATTCACATAATTTCTAGCCAACACGTCGCGCATCGTAGCAAGACAAGAGAATGCTCGCCATAATCTTGCCGATTAACATTGTGTAACGCAAATTCTGGGACGCCGGAAACACATCTTCCGCACAGTTGTCTGGGTAAAGAACTTCGAAGACTGTCGTGTGGAAGCTCCCACCTCCACCCCTTGAAAATGTGCTAAGCCCTCCACACGAGTTCACAAGCCGAAGGTGTGTGTGGAATGCGACTACAAACTAATCCGACGCGACAACACGCCAGCGCATGTGAGTTTTGGCGTCCCAGTGCATTTGCGAGCGCGCGCAAAATCCAAAACAACATCTGGCATCAATGGAACGTTCAAGTGCAATTTGCTGCAATTTGCTGCGACTGGTTTAATGCTGCCTCCACACGTGGTCATTTGCAAATGGACCATTTCGAAGCCTAGTTGTCTAAGTGCATGGACCATATGAAGGCTCGTACAATGGAATAAACACAGATAATTGCAGAGCGCTTCAATCCCCACGAGGCGAGTGGTCTGAATCGCACCAGTACAGACACTTCATCAACAACCTTCGCGTTCTGGGGTGCCTTGAAAACGTAATGCGCACTTCATGCCTTTGCGTTAACTTTGAATCAGTTCATTAGCCACTGAGATGTGCAGATTGGAATCACTGGCGATTTGAGCATCGAGTGAAACGGCCATTCACGAGTTGCACCCCACGAAATTCAAACACACACAGACTACCAACGAAATGTTGTCTGCCCTTTCGCTTGCACTGCAAAGTCGTCCTGTGTGAATACGAGAAACTTCCTTCTGTCTGTGCAAACATCCTCCAGGCATTTCTTGGTGCGGGGGAGGGGATGTGGGGTTATTGATAGATCGGGGATTTGGGTTCCTAAAAGGGACACGTCGTTTGTATGCTACTCACTACTCAAGGGATTTTCGTTCAACACTTTGTCCAAATTAGCCCGACGCAAACTGCTGATAGCTTTTAAGACGTGTCTTTCACGTTTGATTTGAATTTTTCGGGCCTGCGTGAGTGAGTGCTTCTGTTGTCTGTGTTTTTGAAACCTCTGATTGAATTTGCTGCAATTCGGGTGAGAACAGAAGAGAGTATTATGCCAGTGAACATGTGGGCAAGTCGTTCGCTTAAATAATGAGGAGAATGTGCAATAACGTCGACATAATTTGTTAGTTCAATGTGTCACCAGGCCTAGATCTTTACAGGAAACTAATTTTGCTTTTAATTGTGCGGAAATGGCTCCCATTGTGCCCTTTAACGCGTTTCTTCCGGCAAGGCCTTTTTGTTGACGCCCTGTTACGCAGCAGCGACGAAACACACTTGTTTTTATGGGCATAATGAGCCATTTTTATTCACTATTCGCAATTTCGCACATTATGAATTGCTCGTTTGATCTGCCGAGATAGCCAGACTTCAAGCCCAAAATTGGTGCTATCAAAAGTTAATCACGAGGAGGTTTTTACCTTAACTGGTTCGCGTTCGTCCAAATTAACGCAACGTTTCCTCAAAGATCGGAAAAAACTTAAGTGCTGGAGTTCCGATCCACGATGGTTCTGTCGGATTTGTTGCCTCGGATTGCCGTGGTGGCCAGTTAGGAATTCCATTGGAGGGGGGGGGGCACGTTACCACATGTTTGAAGTTGTTTCGGTCTGCACGGCGTGATCTCGCCACGTCAGTTGTCGAGGTGATCAATTGGTGGTGTCTGACACGCAACGGAGGTGCACAAAGGACGGGGATGGGGTGGGGGGTAGGAGGAGGCGGCTGGGTAATTATGGAGGACCACGTGCTGCAGCCTGCCGGAGGCCAGAGGTAACCTTCGTTGCTGATACAAGGCTATATTCATGGCAGTGCATTCACTCTTTCCGCAATTTTCGATGCATTTAAACACCCCATCGGCATGTTTAAGCATATTCGGGGTCGACGACGTTATCTTGTGGCCAGACAGTGCTATTCGGGTTTGGTTCATAGATGTAGGAAATTTTGAATGGTTAGTACCCGTACCCACATGGACACAACTCACCCTCTACCCAGAGTAATCTAATGATATTTAATCACAGTTAAGAACTTGAGTAGAGATGTCTCTTGATCTAAACAGTGGCTTGGACAGACACTACAGTCCCCTGACCCTCCTCATCCTTGGCCAACATTTAATGCCTCATTTGTGGAACACAATTTGGCTTAAATTTTAAATGCGGGTAGTTATTTGCGCCTGTAAAAGTGCTTCGTCGCTCTGAGAAGGCAAGTGTTCGAAGAAGAATCCCCTTGCAATTTATGGTCACTGAGGCTGAAGGATTTCGGCGTCGTGAGATCATGGCATTAGCATGATGGACAATGATACCCTTTTGATCAGCAAATCCACGGTGATGAGCGGTATACTCTTCAACAGTC